GGCGTGCCCTGCTTGATGAAGACGCCGCCGTCCGCGGCGCCGCCGTCCTCGGCCGCCGGCTCCCTGAATATGCCCCAGCCGGGGTGGCGGGGCTCGCCCCACTTTTTGACGGCCGTCACCTTCAGGTCCCTCAGTATCTCCAGGCTGGCCGGGTCCAGCAGGTCCTCGGCAATGACCTGGCGGCGGTTGGGGAGTCGGTTGGGGTCGGGCGGTGCGGGTCAGGATCGGTGAGGAGTAAGGAAAGCAGATGGGGGCACGAGCAACAGCTAAGCGGGCAGGAAGCTAATGATAGGGGAGGTTGGGAAAGAGGGGTACAGGGCGTACGCGGGTAGGCAGGGCGCACACACAGGGGCTGCCCCATCGCGTGCACTGGCCCACTCCTGCCGCGATCATCCTCTCCTCTCAGCCCCTTCCAGCTATCGTCCCGCTTCGCACATCCCACTGATCACAAAAACACACACACACACACACACACACACACGCACATACATACACACCCATAGACATGCACACGCATGTGCACATGTGAAAGCGCGCGCGCGATCTCTCTCACACACACACACACACATGCCCGGATACATACACCACATCCAAAGCCGCACCTTGATGGCGCCGTCAGGGTTGGTTTGTGCGAGGGAGATGCCGCCCTTGAGCTGAACCGCGCCGTCTTTGCAGTGGAACACCAGCCCCACCCCCATGTTCTGGCCGGGAGGGTACCTGCCGCGCGACAGCGGTGGCCGCGACGCATAAGCATCAGCAGCCACTGATGGCGAGCAGCGCCAACTTGCGCGATTTCATAGACTTTCATCTTCAGGTAGGGGCGCGATACATGCCGCGCTAGCTGCCTGGCACGCTGAGCCCTTAGACGTGCCTCCCAATGCGCCGCGCTCGTAATGGGAGCCAAAAGCGACGCTGGCGCGCGGCGTGCGTTGCTGGCGCGCGACCCACCAGACGCGGCGCCTGAAGTCGGGGTGCACAGCGTCCATGGCGTGGCGGGCGGCCTCGTCCCACTTCTCCTTTGAGAGCTTGAGGATGGCCTGGATCATCTTGCGCAGCTGGCCACCGTCTGTGTCTACGACACGCACCAGGTTCTGGAACTCACCCACTGAGGGGCGACGAGTTGGTGTGGGTGCGCATGCGTGTGTGTAGGTGTGTGTGTGTGTGACTTGTTGTACAAGTGTGTGTGGGTGTGTACGCGCTTGTGTTAGTGTGCAAATGCTGGACATCAGTTGGGTTCATCATTGTCACCACCCAGGTGCGCCTGTTGTGCGCGGCTGCGAGCACCGCTTCAAGCCGGCTGTCACAAGGTTCACAGCCAGGCCCCGGCTCCCTCTGCGGCGGCCGTCCCTCCGCTGCTGGCCCACCCGTGGTGATGCGTGCCAGGCGGTCGTCGATGTGCACCTCCACGCCTGTCTCTTGGGCCGCCAGCCGCATGTCTGACAGCTTCTTCACCGTCTCGCGCCCTGGGACGACCAATGACGGCGGCGCAAGGCGCGGGGGGCGATTGCGGTTGGCATAGAGTTGGGGCCGGGTCCTGGAGCGAGATCAGACTGCTAGCTGCCCTTCGTCTCGAAGCCTGCTGGAGTTGAGGTCTGCTGCGAGCCCTGTACACAAGCAAGCAGCAAGCAGCAGAACGCCATATGCTTTTCAGCACTGCAAGCTGCTCACCCACACGCACATGCGCATCGGCTCCTAGTCTGCACGCACGCACGCACGCACGCGCACACACACACACACACACACACACACACACACACACACACACACACACACAAAAGAAACACGTCCAGAGTGCAAGGCACATGCCAAACCCGCCCGACCCAGCCCCGCGCACACCTATGTGCTCGATTTTTGACACGTGGTCGTCCACCAGCGGGATGTCGGCCTTATTGGCCTGCTTCACGCGCCGCGTCGCCACCACAAAGTCGTCGCTGACCGCGTACTGCACCGCGTGGTTGAAGCCGCCCAGCCCGTCGGGGCACCAGGCCAGCAGGCGGAAGGGCGGCCGGCGGCCCTGCAGCAGCGCCTCGGAGCTGTCGGTCACGGTCAGGTCCGGGAGCAGCGCCGTCCTGGTGTGTGTGTTTTGGGGGGGACAATAGTGGGGGTTCGCTGGAGCGGCCAGCCGGGCCGAAGCTGTAAAAAAACCCTTGTGAGCGGGGGGCGATCGAGGCTACACATACGCGGGTGGCAGACGGCCTTGAGAGACATCACTGCTGCAACATCCAGGCTGCACACGCGCAACGGAGCCAGGTACGCTGCCCCTGCCCGCGGGCGGCTGCGCGGCGCACCCATTCTCCAGCCGTATCTGCGCGCCCTGCCGCGACGCGCCCTTGGCGGCGCCCTGGCCGCCGGCGGCGGTCTTGTAGGCGAGCAGGGGGTCGTCCTTGTGGTTTGACAGCCTGAAGCAGGCACGCAGCTCCTCGTCCCCTAGCAGGCGGCCCTCGCCCCCCTTGTCCTTGAAGGCCACGCCATCCAAAAGGGTCAGCTGCGGCGGGAGGGCGGGCGTGTAGATGCGTGTGGAGGGGTTGGCCATTGGGGGTGATGCGTCGGACGCCGCGCAACAAAAGCAGAGCTGGACTCGCGGACAAGGAGGGGACGTAATGGCTACGATCCTTGGCGGCCATGCAGCCGTGCGATGTGCTCAACTGCGGCTAGAACATGCAGACAGGTCCCAGGTGAGAAAGCCCTTCTTCGTCCGAGCACGAAGCTTGCATGCCGCTCAAAGCCTGCCGAATGCGTGCATGAAAGCGGGGCCACGCCGCCCCGCGCAGCCCACCTCAAAGGTCAGGTCTGGGTAGCCGTGCGTGACCGGGCTGCCCGCAGCGTCGGTGAGCTCCAACCGGATGCTGGCGTTGCACTTGGCGCGCAGCGGGTCGCCCACGAGGTACCTGCGGCGGCCGAGGAGCGCGGCGCCGCGCGGCGGTTGAGCGAGCCAGCGGGCCCCGCGGGGAAGGCGCGCCGTTAAAAGCGGCTGCTGCGCTGTGTGGCGAGCGTATCCATCTGCGTATGTATTGGCGCACATCATATGTCAAGCTGGAAGCCGTGTGAGAGACCGGTGACCCACTTCTTTTGGAAGTTTCTCTCGCAGACACGGACGGGGTTGAAGCTGCACAGCGCACACTCGCTGTCGCGGCAGCCCAGGGCGCTGCGGGGCGCGGGAGCGAGGGTGGTCGGCAGTGAGGGATCAGGTGGGGGATGTGGCAAGGCGCTGCACGCTGCAGGTCGTGCAACGCCGTCCGCTTTTTGCGGCCGCTGACTTTGCGGCGGAGGCAGCTGCAGAGAAAGCCTAGCCCGCGCAGGGCACAGAGGAGCAGCCCCGCGACGCTGATGGTGGCGCGGCGGCGGCAAAGGCGCAGTTGGGCGCGCTTGCGGGAGGGGAGGAGGGTGGCAAGCCGCAATGCAGCACAGGGCTGGTAACAGCTGGCTGAATATATGTGACGGCCATGCAGCAGGTGGCAATTTGGGGCCCGCGCTGCTGCTAAGTAATTGCTGCCCTCCTCACTCACTTGCACTCGTGCCTGAACACGAGCCGGTACTGCCCCTGACCCGCCTGCAGCGCCGGCGCTGGGGCCGGCAGCGCCATGACCGCAGCCGGCTCCGACAGCCCCAGGACGCGCCCCGTGACGTCATCGACGGCCTCCGGCGTCAGGCTGGGGGCGATCTCGCGTGCAAACTCGCGTGCAAACTGGCGGATGCGGCCACGGACGTACTCCTGGGGATGTCGGTGGTAATGC